CCCCAAAACCCCAAAACCCCTACTAATAAAATCGTACTAATTAGCAAAATTAAATAAAAAGCAAATCAAAATAAAACTAAATAACTATTAGATTTAAATTTTAATCGATAATTGTTTCTTTGATCTCTTATATAGACCAAACTCAGTCATTTGACTGAAAAGAATATCTTTCATAAGAATTACCTGAAATATTCTGTATTCTACCTTTCCAATAAAATGCCATATGATTCTTTTTAATATCTTCAGAATAGCTACTTCGATCTAAATAACTAAAATCTTGACTTTATTTTAGGCTTTAATCATCTGCATTTCTATTATTCTCTTCTGTCTTACTTTCTCTTTTGGGCTGATTAGAAAGAGCAACACTTAAGAGCCACAGTATTCCAGATAATCCGATTATGAATAAAATATATATTATTTCATTAACTTTCCTCTCATTATTAAGAACAGTCACATTTATAAAGAATTCAACAATATTATCAAAATTAAAATCTTCCTTCTCTGAGCCATCCTCTAAAATGAACTCTTCTTAAGTTGGACCCTAAACTTTAATTCTAATCAATTAGGAATACTCAATGATAGAATTATTCTATGGGATCTTAACTATTAATTGAGGATGGAAATTTTGACCGTAAATTTTTAGTGTGGATCGACTGCAAACTGTGCCTACAAAAAAATAATCGTTTTCTCCTAATAGCCCTGAAAAGAAGTTTCTTTTAATAACTTTGCTAGAAATCTTTTGCAAGTACTAGCAATCATCATCATCCAAATAACTAGTATTCATTGATTTTGAATCTGACATTGCAAAATAATTAACAAATCTCACATAATTAAATACTTCTGTCTACCCAAGCTCAAGTTTATTAGTTTACTTCTCTAAGTATGCAAATCCAAGATGATCTCTAGCATACCAATTATTACCTAAAACCTCAGTGAATTCATTAAATAAGACATGGTTTTTATACTATGGTTCTAGAACAATGCCATTTGTTGAATTTTATTTTTTTGTTAAATTCTAATATTAAAATTGCATTGATATCAATCCATGACCTTAAATTACAATATAGGTTGTATCAAATGACTCAAAGATAACTTAGCTTATTTAGAATGAAGAGCTAAACGACAATGACTATAGAGATATCATTTTTATAATCTTGTAATTTTTCATATTAATCAAAATTAGACCATAGTCCTCTATTCCAAGGAATAAAATTGTAGATCCTGTTTTGATTCCCAAACTATTAATCCTGAAAGTATTTAAACCTAATTAATAATCTGAGAGAGTTTTACTTTGTAGGAAATTATAACTAATTTAGTTGCTTGATTGATCTTTTAAAATCTCATAAAAATTTAATCTAGACTAGTAAGCATCATTCTTCAAATTATAACTAAATATCCCAATAATTTTATCTGTATTATTTTCAAGATAAATCTCAACCAGATCTACTGGCATTGTAAGAGAGGTAAAATTTGTTAGATTCTAGATATAAATTTATGAGTTAAAGAAGTGCAAATAGTTTTAGGGATTGAGGGTTGAAGTATTGAAAGTTTCATTTATATATATGTATGTATTCACTAGTTTTAAATCTTCATCTACTCCAATCAAGATTGCTGTCACTTAGTCATTAACTGAATGTGAAGATAAAAAATATCCTGAGGGGTGAAAATCTTAGAAAATCCTTTAGATTGGAATTTTTATGCTATCATCTTTATCGATATTGTAAATAATTAATTAACCTTAGTCGAGAAATAGCATAAATGACTCAATGACGAAAAATCCGAGTAATGTTTACTAACTCCCTAACATTTCTAACTAGATAGTTCCAGAAACAAAATCATCATTCATGTAAACTTCATTGCAAGGAATTTCTGTTATTTAGTCAGTAGTATCTAAGCAGGAGTAGTTGTAGGCTAAATCTTATCCATGAACATTTTATGTCAAAGAGTATCTTCCAAATAAAGTATCTGCAGCCACAAGTTATGCAGAGGAGTCTCTTGAAATAGTCATTTCAGCTTCGATCTAATCAAGATATGCAATTTTTCCATAATTTTAAGAATTGATCTAAACTCTAATTTTTTCATTTTTGTTATCTGTTGGATAAATAGTATAGCTCTAAGTAAAGTCATTATTCTTGCAAGTTTCTATGAAAGATAAAAACTTTTCTGGCATCAAAGAAATCGTTTGGACAACATTATAGTTGAATATTACGAATGTACTTTACGATAGAGTGATTATCAGAACTGTGGATTTTTAATCACTGTCAAGAATCCTAATGTTGAAATAATACTCATCAAGTTAATCCTCAGAAATGCTTAAATTTCCTTTAAAAAGCAAAGTCTTATGCCTAGTTTTGCTAATATCGAAGCCAAAGATGTAATAACCAGCAAATTTATTGTCAATCGTCTTTTTACATCCAAAATATATATTTGTATCAATAACAGTTGTATGTACCACTTTCAAGAATTTATTTTCTATAAAACTATATTTGATATTTTTATCTGATGCTTCGCCAGCTAATATAGGTAAAATCATCAAATTCGAGAGTCTTGTGGACGCTGATGAATATGAATAGACTTCAACAAAATTATCTCCAAAAAATATGACAATTACGCTGCCAAATATCTTAAATTATCGAATTGGTAGACCTATGTGGTTGCCACCTCTGAAGGAATAAATGTTTTTAAGAAACAGACTTTTAGTCCTTCTCTACACATCATCATTTCTGTAGCCTTAATTCACAAATTGATTATAGCCTTCAACATATAAATGTATCATATTATCAGAAGTTAGAATCCAAACACCATCTGTATTTATTTTTGCATTGATAATATATACTTGCTTATTAGTATTTACAGGTATTGAAACTGAGATGTTATATACAATCTAAAATCTGTTATTTTAATCAGAATTATTTAGTCCGAAGACACCAAGAAGTTAATTCATGTAAGTTCCATTGTTCACTGGTTAAGATATTAATACGCCAAGATGAGAGTTTGGCTCATACGATAAGGAATTAAACTCTCTAAATCTAAAATCAGGTCCCAAAATATCTTTGAATTCTACTAATAGATCTATACTTTATTCCCATAATAATTTATTGTAAAGCTTAAAAATATGCACATAAGCTCCAACTTAGCCTGAAGAAGAAGTATTGCTCAGAACAAAAAATACATCTTAATAGATGTCTTAAGCAACTTATAGTATACTTGAGCCTGGCAAAGTAAAATTATAAAATGAATCAACATTATCTTATGGATTATCAGTTTGATTAAAAGTGTCAATGAGCGTTATATAATCTTTTTCATAGGTAAAACAGGCTAAGTAATCTCTTTTTTCATCTTAATAATATGACTTGAAAGTTAGAATTTCAGGCATTGTACAGCTGGTAATATTGTACTTATATGGTGTTGAATTGACGTTTACATAATTAGTAAATTCAAAATAAGGCTCAAAAAATGTTGAATTAGAATAATTTGTATCAAGTTACATTATCAACTGATTGATAGGTCCATCATAAAAATCAGAAATGTCGATATCCCTTGCATCACTAGAACCGCAATCAAAGTCTATACTTATTACAGCTTCATCGTCTGATCCTAAAAGTTTTGCAAAAGGCGAAAGTGCAAACTCATCACTAATATATAGTATATCTACAGTATTCAATAAATAGTCATTCCAATAATTCTTTGCCGCTACAAGGACCTGTAGTTTATTATTAAGCATGTTTTATTCCTATAAATATGTGGCATTTGATCCGTTTATTTGCAAGTAGTAATTATCAAATCTATATATTCTAAATAGATCCGAAGTCTTTAAAAATAAGAAATTCTCAAACTTGTTCATAAAATTTATCAAAATTCCAGAATCAAACATTTCTGAGTATTTAATTTCAGTATATCCAATAGAGAAGTGACTAGAAGTTCGGCTAAAGACTCTTAACAAAGGTTTCAAATCTAAAATAGACATATACTAAACAACTACATAATTTTAATTAGCAGTGAGAGAATTCATACTCACGAAATCACCATCATCATCACTAACAAAATAGCCTCTTTAAATAAATGGAGTTGCTTAGTTATCGAAATTTAATTCAAGCACTCCTGGAGGAGATAATTTCATTATAAATATCAGTTTTTATTCATCAGGAGGATCCAAATCAAGTACAAAAATAGACCCTAAATGATCAGATGGTATTTTATAATGAGGATAATAAGAGCAAGAAGCGATTGTGGAGCAATTAATGTTCAAAAATAAGATTCCTTGAAAGTAATCAGTTGCTACTACAATATTTTCATAATAGGGTACAATATTAACATCCTAAATTCTCAGCTATTCTATCTGATCAGAATACTAATAATTTAGTCTCCTATTATTGCATCTTTAAGCCTCATCAATAATTAGTGGATTTTACTAATCGTATTTTGCTTTTAAATCATCAGTGCTCATTGATAAGGGATTATCAAAATTATAAATTTACCTTATAATTTTAGGCTGCAAAAATCCATCCATTGATTCAAAGTTAAAATAGCAACTGGTTTTATATTTTTTGACCAGTATGATGTATGTATAGTTGATTTTCTTAACATATCGATAGACACCATCTTTCATTGATTAGAAATCAGCATTGTTTACAAAATACCTGACAGTAGGCGCTTCGATCACACTTATGTTAATCATCACAGAGACTCCATAGAATTAGTCCTGCTAGTCACCCCATTATTTATTAGACTTGCAATTAGCCATGAGTTTAGCTTTTTCAAGAATAATTAAATTTGTGCACTGTTTATCTTATGACAGATCTTAATTCTTAAAAATATTTGTCTTAGATAATCTGTGGATTTAACTTTGCGGACCTTTGATTGCATAGTCTGAAATGTCATAAATTATCAGATTCATGTCAAAGTCGATGAATACAAGAAAAAAACCTGCATAATCATCACAGTAAACAACTGAAGTTTGGGGTAATGACTGTTATCCTTCAAATTATTCAAAATCTTCTTCATGAATTATTTCATAAGGAGGAGTAATGGTTACCATTGATTCATCATAATTAGATGAATCGTTGTAAGGTGCCACTTCAAAAACATATTCAATCAAGGGTCCTCTAAAATAATTGCTAAGAGGCAATCGAATAATTTCCTCTGGATATATAACTATTCTATTCAAATCCTTTATTACTGCAAAGCTTTAGTTCAATGGTAAATCATATTAATCTGATTGGAGAGTAGGAAGCACTAGCTGAATTAGAACAACAACCAGAGATAAGGATATAAGGTTGAAAACGCTCATTTATTAATATATATTAAATTAGCATTACTTTTAATGTGTGCAATATTTAAAATTTTCAAAATCTCTATTCTCTAGCCTAATTCACTTTAGGGGTTTTGGGGTTTTGGGGTTTTGGGG